TGGTGGAGTTCGATGGTTTGGGTGATCGAAAAGTGGTGGAATGGGGCTCCTTAGGTGGCTACTGAAAATGGGTGAAAATGAAGAAGAAAGAAGAAGGTGAAATGAAAGAAGTTGGGAAAATAATTTGATATAAATTGAAGGACAACTTTGTCATTTTACCATTAAAATATTTTAATTTTTTTAATTCTATTTCAATATTGGTCAAAAGTCATTTCTCCAAAATCATTGTTTAGTGGGGTTATTTGGCCAAATTTTTCAAAGGAAAATAGGCTGTGACCGGTTTTCTTTAAAGCCTTACCTTGGGGGCTAATGCTACAATTTGCCCCAAAATTTATCCGACAGCGAACAGAGTACACTCCCCACGCGAAAACCCCTCTCCAAATTACCATTCCCACTGATCCTATCATTCTCCTTTTCATTTCTGTACTTTCTCTCTCTAAAACATCATCATATCACTGATATGGCTTCGCGGAGGCTCTTAGCCTCATTACTCCGGTCCTCCGCCTCCCGTAGCTCTCTATCAAAGGCTTTGAACTCTGCCCCAAAACCCAAGCACCCGCCATCTCCAGTCGGCTGCTTCCTCCACCGCGTCGTAGGGTATGCCACCTCCGCCACCGAGCCCGCCCAAATCTCCTAGTGGAGGTCCCAGTGGGAAGATCACAGATGAGTTTACCGAGAAAGGCGCGGTCGGAAAGGTGTGCCAGGTTATCGGTGCCGTGGTTGATGTGAGGTTTGATGAGGGATTGCCTCCGATTTTAACGGCATTGGAGGTCTTGGACAATCAGATCAGGCTTGTTTTGGAGGTAGCCCAACACTGGGGTGAGAGTGTGGTCAGGTGTATTGCTATGGATGGTACTGAAGGTCTTGTCAGAGGCCAGCGCGTGCTCAATACTGGCTCCCCCATCACCGTGAGTCGTTTTAGATTTATCTTATCAATTTGTTTATATTTTCTTAAAGACTTTCCATTCTCTTGAATTGATACTGTTTTTGGAAATGAGCTCTATTTTAATTTGATTTTTAAAAAATCGGTGCTTTTGATTAGTTTTTAGGAAAAGATGTTGGAATCTCTATGGTTTGGGCGAGATATAGGTTTGGATCTAGACTTTGATGTGGATTTAAGCCGTTTCGATTTGATTTGGGATATTGATTCTTAAGAATTTGATTTATTGGTATATTGGCATTTTTGAGTTCTTTGATTAAATATTGTCAAGACTGAATATTTATACCTGTTGTGGATGCGTGCTGGATTTTGAGCTTTAAATTTTGTGAAGCAAAGCTTAAAATTTGGGTTATGTTACTTAAGGATGGTATTATCTATAAAGTTGCAACACTTTTCAAATGATATTTACATTTGCCTTTTGAAAGCAATGGCAGGATTATGATTGGCTTCAGCATCTCTAAAATGGTTCGATTTTATTTGAGAGGGTAATCTTTATTGCTTTTGTTGAGGTCTTAAGGGGGTGAGTTCTTGTCTTCATTGATTACGGTGTTTTTAAAGATACATCTGATGTCCGTTTGGTCTTCAACGTCCCGTTTGCTTTTCTTTTCCAAACAGTTTGCAGACTTGATGTCGTAAGCCTCAACTCAAGTATGGCTTGACTTTATGGTCGTGATAGTTGAAAATCACTCAAAATGTTCCTACTTTGATTTCTGAAGCTGTTTATTATTATGTCCTATAAGAGTTTTATTTTTTATGATGGTTATTTTGTTTCTCTTCATTTGATTAAAGGTGCCTGTGGGTAGAGCAACCTTTGGCCGCATTATGAATGTCATTGGAGAGCCTATTGATGAGAGAGGCGATATTAGTAAGTGTTGTTGCTTCTGAATGATCAAAACATTTTTAAAGTGATTGAAGAAGGCTTGTGTCTTTTCTAACAAATGAATGGTGCTGCAGAAACCGATCACTATTTACCAATTCATCGTGAAGCTCCAGCCTTTGTGGAGCAAGCAACTGATTCTTGTCACTGGTATCAAGGTACTTTCTCACAGGTCCAATCTGTACTTGATGGATTCCATTCGCAAGTCATTTTATGTTGGTCACCAATTTTCAGTGTTGATTTGTTACACAAGGTCGTCGACCTTCTTGCACCATACCAAAGAGGAGGAAAGATTGGGTTGTTTGGTGGTGCTGGTGTAGGAAAGACTGTTTTTATCATGGAACTGATTAACAATGTTGCAAAAGCTCATGGTTAGTTTTTGATATTATGCATTATTTCTTATAGAACCCTACCTTGCTTAAAGCCCTGATTTGTGATGTTGTTTGTTTTTCTTGTCAGGTGGTTTTTTCGTCTTTGCTGGTGTAGGAGAACGAACTCGAGAAGGTAATGATTTGTACAGAGAAATGATTGAGAGCGGTGTCATTAAGCTAGGTGATAAGCAGGTTAATATTTTTTTTATTTTGTCAATTGTTCTATTAAGTTGATACTTTCTCTCACTAGTTTAAATATACCTTATCTAATAATTATTTATCAGGCTGATAGCAAATGTGCTCTAGTCTATGGTCAAATGAATGAGCCCCCGGGTGCTCGTGCTCGTGTTGGACTTATTGGATTGACCGTTGCTGAACACTTCAGAGATGCAGAAGGGCAAGATGTGCTTCTCTTCATTGACAATGTTTTCCGATTCACCCAGGTCAGTTTGCATTATTTTGTCATTCTTGATAAGTATTTTGTGTTTGGATCACATCTTGATAATACAATGTCTTCATTTCTTTTGTTAAAAACTTTTTGCAGGCTAACTCAGAAGTGTCTGCTTTGCTTGGTCGTATCCCATTTGCTGTCGGTTATCAACCTACTTTGGCTACAGATCTTGGAGGCCTTCAAGAGCGTATCACAACAACTAAGAAAGGTTCCATTACCTCTGTCCAAGCCATTTATGTGCCTGCTGATGATTTGACCGATCCAGCTCCTGCAACCACCTTTGCTCACTTGGACGCCACTACACTACCGTGTTATCACGACAGGTAATTTGGACTTCATTTTAGTGCAAAAAACATATCATTGCTACCTAGAATTTGACTCTTGTTATTTTTATTTAGATTTCTGAGCTTGGTATTTATCCTGCTGTCGATCCACTTGACTCGACACCTCGCATGCTTTCCCCACATATCTTGGGAGAGGAACACTACAACACAGCCCGTGGGGTACAGAAAGTCCTCCAGAACTACAAGAATCTTCAAGATATTATCGCCATTCTTGGAATGGATGAGCTCAGTGAAGACGACAAATTGACTGTTGCACGTGCTCGTAAAATTCAACGGTTTTTGAGCCAGCCTTTCCATGTCGCAGAAGTTTTCACGGGTGCCCCTGGCAAGTATGTCGAGTTGAAAGAGAGCATTAACAGCTTCCAGGTAACGCCGTTTTCTTTGCTACTTGTGCTTTATATCTGCTCTCTCTGTTAATCATTACGCTAACTTTATATTTTCATCTGGACGCTAACGTTTCCACTCAAAGATTTACGTATTTGTAAAGAAGAATGCATATTGGGAAATGAAATGTGTCTGAATTCATAAAACTCCTTTACTCATACTGATGTAACAATCTATGTTGTCTTTATGATTGTTGGTATACTATCTGCTTCTTGGGAGGATTTTAGTCAATATTACCTCTTAACTATATGTTCTTCTTTCTTTATTGTAAATGATATGATGTTGTAAGTTGTGATTCTGATGCATTGCTCAACTGGTTTCAACAGGGAGTCTTGGATGGAAAGTATGATGACCTATCAGAACAGTCATTTTACATGGTTGGAGGAATCGAAGAGGTCATTGCCAAGGCAGAGAAGATTGCCAAGGAATCTTCGGCATAGATAGATTAATCTTCTCCCCTTCTCCTACTGTTAATTACGAAAATAATCTTGTTTGTGGCAATGCCAACATCAGGAGATTTTTGTTCCTATTCTATGTCAATGGCGGGATTGTGCTACAGATGTGGCGCCAAGAGTCTCCCAGGCAAGCTCCCTCCTTGTTGTTTATGACTGAAGGAATAACGATCGTGATTAATAGCTGCAGCATGAATCAAGAGTGAAGGAGCAGAATACTTCAAAGATGAATTCCAGCTTTTATCTCATATTGGCTATAGTCGCATTTGTGTATTACGTTTTTGCCTTTATCCTTTTTTCTTTCCTTTGCTGTTGAATACCGTTTTAGTATTAATGAGTTGTCAGCCAGCCATTGGTCGATAGCTCTCTCTCTTATGTCTATATATATCACGAGCTTTCCATTTTCTGTTAGCTCGATTAATTGAATAAAAATTTCTTTTCTCTTCCAAAATACTTCAGCCATTTTTGCTCATGGTATCAGAGCATGGTTGCAGATTCAAATTTTTTTAAGAAATTAATCAATTAGCTGAAGAAGAAATGGCGACAGGATCAGATAGTGAAGAAGAATCAGTAGGAAAAGAATATTCGAATGGAGATCCGTTGGATCTTCAAAATTCAGATCATCCCGGTATGGTTTTAGTTTCCTCAGTATTAACAGGAAGAAATTATCTGAGTTGGAGTAGATCTATCATCATTGCTTTAGGAGCTAAGATGAAATTGGGTTTCATTGATGGAAGGTGTAATAAACCCACAGAAAGTGTGCCTAAAATCGAGCAGTGGATTCGGGTAGATTGTATGGTTAGATCGTGGTTGTTGAATTCTATTGCAAAAGATATTGTTGAAGCCTTCATTTATACCAAATCGGCAAAGGATTTATGGTATGAACTGAAGGAGAGGTATGGTGAGTGCAATGGTCCAATGCTGTATCAAATACAACGAGAAATCAGTAGCATTTCACAAGGTGTTTTGACTGTGGAAAAATATTATACCAAACTCAAAAAACTGTGGGATGAATTAAATTGTTTAATGCCAATTCCCACTTGCACTTGTTCAGCATCAAAGGAAATTTCTGATCTGACAATTTTTAACCAACTGATGCAGTTTCTAATGGGATTAAATGATACTTTTGATCATGTTAGAAATCAAGTATTAGTCATGGATCCGCTTCCGTCTGTCAACAAAGCATATTCCATGGTATTGAGGGTTGAAAAACAGAGAGAGGTTCAAAATATTTTC